AAGGAAGAGTTTTGAATCATACACAGAGCCAAAATATCAAGTTTCTAAAGTTTGCTGCAACGAAACTATTATCGCAGCGTACCTTAAGTATGTTGTTTTCGTTTTCAAACGTGATTTGATTATATTAATACTTTGTATTAGTTTTACAAGTATTCTTAATTTTCAGGATCAAGCAATATTCGATAATGCCTGCGACACTGATGTTGTATAGCAGATTAGGAAATAGCTGCAATATCTTTAAATTAAAATCAGATTTTATCAATTAAATATTTTATGCGTTATTTGTATAACGTTTCATAATTTTATACAATTTTAATGTCTTACCAAGATTATGAGAGTAAAAAATGTGATAGTTCCGATGTGACTTATGTTTCCCTCACTTTGTTGTCACCGTTAATTATAAAATTTGATGCCATCAAGGAAGAATATTTTAATTGTTTAGTTAACTGTCCTAACAAAAAGATTAAGATAGAGAAAGAGTTAAGTACTTATCCATTATTTATGCGTTTATAATTTTCTACTACATATTATTTCTATATTCTATATCATCAATACCATATAGTGACCCTAACAATTGTTTTTTTTAATTAGTTATATCGCTGAAGTCGGAGACACCTTGCTAGAGATAAGGAAGTTGTGTATGGACAAAGCTGTTGGCAATGTTATTAAAATCGCGCGTCTACTTGTAAAATCGACCGCTCCTACGATTTTTCCCATTCCTGCGATCTGAAACGCATGCAAGATCGTTTTCTTCTTTGATTCATCAAGATCGTCGTTTAAGCTCATGAAATCAGTTGGATCGTAAGATCCCACTGTTTTTGTGATTTAACTCCTTCTGAAATGAACATGGAATGCCAACCTGATAATGATTCCAGAACCTTCACACCCCAATGCTCCTAGAATATGTTGTCAGCAAAAGGTACACCTACCCACCATTTCTACCACGCTTTCGTCATCCAAAGAGGTCTGAAGCAAGATCACTTCCTCATTTCCCACTTCATTTCCCTCGCTAACTCTCTTGCCTCTCTCGCCTATTGTGTCGCCATTTTCGATTGCCTTCTCATGCCTTATTTCTTCCTCTGGAACACTCTTATCAAAGCCCATTGCTAAAAGAGTTATTTTTTTGATACCTTCTCTGTTTTTGTTCAAATGAAGGCAGATGGGGCTCTTCCCGATAGCTACACATACCCTTCAGTGATTAAAGCCTATTCCAGCATATGCAATGCCCGGTAAGGAATATTGATTCATGGGTCAGCGTTGAGGTGTGGAGTGGAAGAGGATTCAAAAGGTGTGCAATGTGAAATAGCAAAAGGTGCATTTTTTGGAATGCCTGAGAAACTAATCGGCACCGTTGATTCAAAAGGTGCACTTTTGGCCGTCCAACCAAGTGTTATGCAACGGTCCACTCACCAATAGTCATCAGCTCCCATGCGTCCATAATGTTCTAGTGGATGACAACTCACTTATATGTAAAATCAAGTTAATATTTAAGCTTAATTATCTGTATTATGCAAAGTAAGGGTGTATTTATATAAATATTATTTTTTTATAATTAAAATTAAACAGTAACAATTTTACGATCCGTTTCGATTCAACGATTTATGATTTTTTTATCCCCTTTCGATCTCATGTAAGATCTCGATCTTAACAACCTTGGTTACTGGGGAAGAAGTTGTGTAGCATTAACATTGGTCTGGGTGTTGTTGAACTATATATTTGAGAATTATTAGACAGTTAAAAAATATACAATGTCTTAATATTTATTACGTCTCATTGAACAAATGTGGATTATTATTTTTTTTTTGTAATTGTCCAATGTTCAACATGATGTTAAACATTAATTATTTGACATTATGATATTTAATATAATCTAAATATTTTGTGTTTGTTTTTCTGCTTCGTCTTTTGAAGTTAATCTTCAACAATAATTAATATACAATAATTTGCTTATTATTTGAAATTTGAAAATATTTATTCCTTTGTTTGATTATGAATTTTTTTTAATAAAATACATTTATGGAAACCATCTTTAACTAGAAAAAAATGAAGAGACACATTCTGCACTGTAAAACTATGTTTGTCATTAAATTTTTTATTATTCACGTGTCTACACTTTAACCGACTTCTTCTAATTTATATGTGTGAGGAAGTTTATTTTTTTATTTTTTTTATAAACTACATGTTATTCTCTTAATTCTAATTATTATATTTTAGATTTTTTTTAATCTTCTTTCATTGGCTGATTCTTCATCTTCTGCCAAGTGGAGAGCAATTGAGAAACAGAGACAGATGCCCCTGAAATATGTTCAAAGAAATTTATTATTTCAGATTTTTGAAGTCACTATTGTAACATATTTAGAGTCTATTATAAACACCCATTCAATATTAAGTTGCAAATCACTTATCTATTTTATCTTTTAATTATTTATTTAATAATTGTGTCCTTGAAAATTTTATTTATAAAGTTTATTAAAAATTTGCGTTAATTTTTACTAGACAAAAAAATCGATTTCTTTTTTCTCCATACAAGGTAGAAAATTTAGTTAATATTATACTACTTAATCTATAATTTTGCAAACAATAAGTAAAAGGGTGATTGATTCCTTAAAAGGAGCTAGGGGATGAGAAATAATGTAAATACTTCCTCAAGTTATCATGAACAATTTAGATAATGTTTTTTTATATGTGTTGAATCTTGATTGAATTAATTTTAACACTCCGAAAACGGCTTTTTGACCCTTATAACATTTTATTAATAATTATTTATCAAATTGACCTTCATTATAAACTATTTCAAAAATTTAACCTAAAAAAAAAACATAACACCAATCTACCCCTGTTTGACCGTTGACCACCAAGCCTACCCAGGTACACCCCTCCTTACCCGGATATATTTTGAAATTTTATGCCTACTCGAGTAGGGAGGGGTGTACCCAGATATATTTCTTGAGATCTGAGAAATTGCTTGAATTATTTACTCGGGTACTGAGATGGTGTACCCGGGTAAATTCTGGAACTGCAAGTAGTTGCTAGATTGTCAATTATAGAAAACGCAAACTAGTTTATCATGATCGGAGGCTCAAATTATAAAACTAGCTTCATATTTTTAAACAACAAAGATTCTAAAGACCTTTTGAATTGCCTTCTTCATTTTCTTCCTAGATGCCAAGTATTTTTCACCCTTACTTGTGAATTCATTTTCAACACCCTTTCTTCGGATAACTGACTGAATCTCGTACATGTTTTCCTTTGATTGCAAGAGGCAATCATGGGCTGTACTACAAATATCCAGAAGCCTCAGAGACCCTTCTAATAGGTCATCAACCCACTTGTCACTGCATTTTAATGTCAAGGATTGTTGGGTAGTTGGCAACAGAAGCAACTTCCTAGCATAATTAGTTTGTGACATATAGAAGATGATGACAAAGAGGTGGTGGTGGCGGCTTCAGAATCCTTCAATCTCTGCAAATGCTCCTGCAAATCCGTCAACTTCTTAGCTCACTTGGTTGCTTCTACAAAGAGGTGGTGGTTGCTTCTACCTAGTGAGATTTACCCGGGTACACCCCTCAATACCTGGGTAAATAATTCAAGCAATTTCTTAGATCTCAAGAAATATATCCGGGTACACCCCTCCCTACCTGGGTAGGCATAAAATTTTAAAATATACCCGGGTAGGGAGGGGTGTACCCGAGTAGGCTTGGTGGTCAACGGTCAAACAAGGGTAGATTGGTGTTATGTTTTTTGAGGAGGTTAAATTTTTGAAATAGTTTATAATGAAGGTCAATTTAGTAATTAATTATTAATACAAGGTTATAAGGGTCAAAAAGTCCTCCGAAACCACTTAGAGGGTGTTTGGTAGGGTTTTTTTAAGGGGATAGATGGGTAAGTATAGGAGGGGATTTGTGATGGATATGTTTGGTAGAGGAGTCTGAGAAATAAAGCTGGGCAATGGGTTTCCCCATGAATCTCTGAAAGCAGCATTAAATTGGCTCCAAAATACTGTTCTAGAACACCACTTTGGAGGTGGTATAAGAAGAAAACTAGGAAAATGATCTTTTAGGAGCCAAAAATGTTACGTTATTGCCCCTGACCACTTACCTCTCTCCTTTGCAAAACTTCTTCCTGTGTAGTTCACTGACCTGTGGACAAGTGAGACATGAAGATGGTTGAATTCATTTTAAAGAAAAAGTGGAGGATGATTCAACACGTATTTAAGTAAGTGAAGTCAGAATGTTTATTCTGATGAACACCCTAAACAAACGGATTTTCACAAATACAGGTGTTAAGATTTTTGTTGGTTGTTCTGTCATGCCATAGCCAACACCATACTGTTATGGAATCATTCTGAAATGCATCGGTGTTGCAAGTGGCCATGTGTGTAGAAGAACTATTTTTTTTTTTAGCATTGGGGATTCAAAAAAACCTACCAAAACGTTTCGATTATTATATGTATTACAACTTATGGGATTCAACCATTTCAAAGGCGAGTTAACAACAAAAATAAACCAATTAACTCAGACCGCACACCATGGAATCATATAACAAACTCAAAAAGCAAACGAGGAAACCCACCTCACAACGAAAAAAAAGAACACTCTACGCATGAAAGGATAAAGCAGAAATTACTCACTTTTGATGGCACCTTGCAAGTCGATCTTGATGTCAAAGCTTGTAAGTCGGTGTAATATTAAGGGAAATTTTGGAAATTTTGTCATATTTCCCCATCAATCTTTTACTTTCAACCAAACATAGTTTTAGTAAATTTTATATAATTTTTCTGGTATTATTTCGGTCTACCAAACAACATTTTTAAAATTTCTCTACTTATCTAAGTTTACAACTATTTCTCTACTATTTACATTTATCTGGTTAAAAAAAATTTATCCTTTACCAAACACTCATTTACGCACCATAATCTGGTGCATCGGGAAGCATTGGGGGCAGTTCCTGAACTTTACAGGTGTCACAAGCAAGGACATGATACGTAGGTTGTTGAGAGAAGCAAAGGTTTAGTTCAGTGTGACAAGCAAAGGAGCAGGAGGGAGCTTGATGGATACGCGCAGCACCATATAAGATGTTGTCGATCCTCACTTCCCAAAATGGCTTCAACACTCTGCTCCTCCGTCTCTTCATCATTCCTCCCTTCCTCTACGTTACGACGTCGTCTACCCCTTGTTGGTGCGTTTTGCGTTCTCAGTTTGGGATTCTCCAATTTCTACGCACCCTTGTATTCCTCTGCCTTCAAAACGGGGTGCGTTCAATCTCTCTTACGGTACTCACTGTGCCACCGTCATAACGGAGTTTCTCTTCGATTTCTCTCTCTCTCTCTCTCTCTCTCTCTCTCTCTCTCTCTATAATTCAATTGCTTCTTTTTCAGATCCAAATTAGGTAGCCATAGCCAGTCTCGTGCGAAGAGCAGTAGCTTCATCAGAATGGAAGGGAGTAACAGTAACACCACTGTCCCAAGCATCGTTGTCTATGTCACTGTTCCCAACAAAGAAGCAGGTTCCAGGAACATGTCCGGTTCTTTATTTTTAATGTTGTTTCTTTGTTATTTGATGTATGTTATTGTTTCTGCAGGTAAGAAGCTGGCTGAAAGCATTGTTACAGAAAAGCTTGCAGCTTGTGTAAATAGGGTACCGGGTAAGAATTTCCTACGAATCATGTTGTTACCTTTTGCATAATTATTGGATTTCTAAGCGTGTATTGAGGTGAGAATTTTCGTCTTGGACTAGAATTTTCTAATGACTACCAAGATCCTGATTAGAAATTTCACTTCGCATTATGGGTTACTTTGTTTGCATCTATCTGTATAAGGTGTTCCGGGAAATACTCTAGCAATATGAACATGTCAGACAAAGTTTCATAGCTTTCTTAAACTTTTACTTTTTTAATTTTTTTTATTGGACTCATTTGTCGCTTGAATCACTAGAATAGATGGTTCTATTACTGGTTCCTCAAATTGAAAACGTTTTTGGGTATTTTTTTTTTAATTACTCCATTTCTGATCATGTAATTGCTAAATTGTGAACTATAGATATATTTATTTTGATACATGGTCAGAACTACCTTTTGCATCCTTTGTTATTTGCGTGCCCACATGTAGGATTGTAGGTAACTTAGACTTGAATGAATTCCAATACCTGACATCTACCTTCACTTTGAGCTTATATACTTGTTTCACATATGGTGTGTATGATCATGTCAACCACCTGTGCCATCGTAGTGGTAGGGTGGAATGGATCGAGTTTGGTATGGTCTTGAGTTAATTTGTTTTCTAACCAAGTTGATTATAGAAGTTGCATCCCATGTCTGACTTTTAAAAGCCACATGTATTATGTCCTGTGCAGGTATCGAATCAGTGTACCAGTGGCAGGGAAATGTATGACCTACTATTTCTCAGTTGACCTGTTTGAATACTAAATTACTGATAGTAGTATAAACCTTTTTCTTTTATTTTTAAGAAAAAGTTTTCATGCTAACATTAAAAGTTCTTATTTTCTAGTGTGCATTTAGGTTCTTGTGGAGTTTTTTAAGAAAATTTATTTGAAAGTATTGTTGTAGCTTGATTTTGCAAGCTTTGTGTTGCAATTTGACAGATTGAAACTGATTCTGAGGAACTTCTCATAATCAAGACTAGGCAATCCCTTCTGGAAGCTCTGACAGAGCATGTCAAAGCAAATCACGAATACGAGTAAGGCTGATACATCTAGTAAATAATCTTGCAATAAAATTTGAATTTGTTTTGTAAAATGAAAAGTTTGAGTTGCATTTACTATTCGATCCTAAAAGAAAGCTTGAAGAACGGAACACTTAAACCATATATCTGCCAGGACTCAAGAATCTTGACGTTAATATTTAAATCTATGTTGAAATGAACTTGAGGTGCAACTGCAGAAAACAGTAATGCATTCACATGCTTCTTACCTCTTCCTTTTGTCTCTTTCAGTGTGCCAGAGGTGATCTCCTTACCCATCACTGGGGGCAATCTTAGATATTTAGAATGGATTAAAGAGAACACAAAGGAGTGACTAACAAGTTTAGCCAGAGGGAGTGAGTTTAAGAGTTCATTCTTCTGCCTTTGTGTGATAAATAAAGCTGGCATGTCATCTATGTAACTAGGCAATGAGTTTTAAATATAATTATGCCGAGAATGATGATCAGACTTGTGTTACTGCTGGTGGCTAGGGTTGAATGTGAGATTTTATGAGTAGACATTTTCGTTGTGATTTATGTACATTCGACCTTTTTTTTTTTTTTTTGTTATGGCTGATTTATGTGTTCCCAGCACCATGCACCTATCTATCTGCTTTGGGGTTCAAAAGTATTTTTTTTTTCTACATAAATTATGGAATTAGCATTCCGCCCACTCTTCTGGCCGTGTTATTCCTGTGTTTCTCTAAGACAGTGAAACACCCTTGGTGGGTTTGGTATATAAGCTTTGCCTTAAGCACTCCCCTACAAAAATATGACTCTGAAAAAAAGTTAAGGTAGTTTGCGGCGCTCGGACATAGTAGAATAAAATAAAATAAAATAAAAGCATTTTTTTTATAAGTAAAGTGAAGATGTATTATTGTCTAAGCTTATACATTGTTCTGTTTTATTTTTAAAATGTTAAATATAAAATAGAATCTGATGTCTTGCGTACTGTTCTAATAAGCCTGTCAAACGTAATTCATAGCCTGTGGTACCATAAAATAGTTATATGCCTTATTTTCAAAGGCATCTGTTAGGTCATTGAATTATTGCATGGAAGTGGGAGGCAGGTGGCCAACGTTTTAAACTTTACAGAGTTATAGTTGTAAAGCCAACAAATTGGTTTGGCTGCTTAGAGATTTTATGTTTATTTTGTTTTAAGCACATAATAAATACAACTAGTATCTAATTTCGTTAAAACTAGCCCAATAATACGTATAACTTTTACCATGCATTGAAATAGGGTAGATTAGTAGTGCATAAAATTATAAATTTGGTAGTCAATCCCCTTCACCAAAGTTCTAATCGAATCGTCTTTCAATTTCTGCTTCACATATAAATTTGGTGGTCAGTGCCTTTCAAAGAACATTCTCCCAACTAAGCTCCACTGGTCCGATTCTGATTTTCAATCTCAGATGTTTAGTTCTGATAGTGACTAGCTGCAATAAGATACTGTACAGTTTATTTTATTTTTATTTTTTTGTTAATTTTTTTAATGCTATCCTTGAATCTAGCCTACGGTTAAAATTTTTGAAGAGGGATTGACGGCATGGGTTTAATTAATTTTTTTCTTCAAATTATAAGGATTTAATTACAAACTTTTAAAACATAAAATAACTAAAAATTCCTAACTTGTATAGGTAAAAACACATTGATTTAACCTACAATTCTTCTGTCCATACAAATATAAAGGAAAGAAAATTGTTATTGTTCAAGGCTGGTAGCTAATCTAATAGACAACTTTTGTAGTGAGATCATTTACTGCCAATACTCAAGAATAAAGAAAAGCTCAAGCGTAAAGGACGAAGAGGATTGCTGCTTGTTGAGACTTGTATTTATAAAACCAACGCCAACACAGAACTTACAACTTTTTAGCCACGAGAAACAAAAAATATCTTCAATTAGTAGAAACAAAAATGATTGGTAGAGAATAAATTGTGCATTGCTCCAAATGTTGTAGATAGACAATACTCAACATCAAGTGTAGTTTTTTGGAATCTTACAAAAATAATGTGGTTCGCTACAGCAAACAAATTTGATATTTGTGTTTCCGAACAATATACCTGTCAGCATCATGTACGACGGAGAATATATTCCATAAGCGCCATCATAGTTGTTATGAATAATGCTGCTACAAGCACAATTCTAGTTCTTAGAGGACCACATGCTTGAATGGCGGCGTGCCCAAAATTTTAAAATAGGACCCCACTTGCAATCGAGTGTAAACTATGGTGGCTACTTTTATGACCCTATAGAAGTAACATGACCCTATAGAAGTAACATTTCTCGAAACAAATTATATAATCAATTGTCAAGTAATCTCATTCCATCAGATCAATTTCTTCCTTGAGTATTAAACTTGGATGTTGCACTCTAAATAATCTTTTCACAAAAAAACGTAGGTAAGGGAAGATTGCACCAGATATAATTAATTGGATTTCACATTATATAGTATCCTTTCCAGATCATATAACACAAAAAAGAGAAAAAAAGAAGAAAAAGGAGCCTGGTCTTCTGTTCACACAATATATCACAGATTGCCAATCATTTATAAACTAGGGTGATTCTTAATCAGCACAAAGAAATGACATTCAAAGCCCACCTCCTTCAGAGGAAGAATACGAGCCATCAACCTACAAGGGGATATCAGGGCTCATCTAGCTGGTCCTGCAGGAAGTCAGATATTGCTTAAACTAAGATTTTGATGCGTCATGTGTAATATTAGGAAGAGAGATTAAGCAAAATGCTTTAACAAAAAAAATAAAATTCTGTAATGTAATGAGCGTGGTTCTATGATGACATAAACATTTACCTGGACATCAGAAGTCCAAAGGGTGAGGTTGTCTCTTAAAAGTTGCATTATAAGGGTGCTGTCCTTGTAGGATTCTTCTCCCAAGGTGTCCAGCTCAGCAATTGCTTCCTCAAAAGCCTTTCAGAAAAATGAAAACCAATACGGTTCAGGAGATTTTAAATTCAATAAGGCTGAGTTCTTGTCCGAGTACTCAGTACACTAGAAGCCAAGCATGTTTTCTAGTATTCCAGGTAAATTTATTTAAATTTACAATAATATTTTTGCATTAAATCACTTTATATTAATATCCATGTTTATTATCACATTCATCAAAACACAATCATATTAAATGAGAAGAGGTGGTCACATTTGGTAAACACACTAGGGGATCCAGCATGTTTCAAACACGCCGGACCTCTTAACGAGTTTACTAGATGCTGCCATGTAGTAGCAGAGACACGCTTGGTGAGTTAGCGTGTTTCTGCTATACTAAACGGTAAATAAGTTGACTTTGTCAGCAAATGAGTATATTAAATTTTTAATAATAACGGTCAAAAAGCTCAAATCGAAGTGTACCTTTCCCAGGGGAAGAAAATCCAATTTTGGGTTAAAGTTAACAACTCTTCCAGTTTTAGTACACAACTAATTAACTACATTTTACAATTTAAAAAACAATAAATTTGTTTCAGATGAATAATAAAAAATTTCAAGCAAAATATCCCATTTAGTAGCAATTCAACATCAAAATCTCCAGTTTGCTTCATAAACAGATTTTGCAATAGGATAACCATAATATCATACATTGCAGATGAATAATATAACATTTTATTTCCAACGATAAAAAATCTGATGAACCAAAGTGAAAGTATTTCTGTTAACCAGCTTCTGTGTGTAATTTCGTCTGTTCTCTTATAGTTCAATTCAAGTAAAAAACTTACCTAGCTTCATGAGCACATTCAATGTCACATACTCACCAAACACAGAAATTTTTAGAAAATATAAGTTCCCCCACAATAACCTTAAAAAATACAAGTAGTCAAATGTAGCAGTAACACTGCTCTGCATTTCGTTGTTCATCCAGCTCAACTATCATGTGTACATATAGGAACTACGATTTATGCTACCAACCTTTTTCTTGTTTACTGTCAGCAAGGACTAACATTTAGAGCAAACAGATTGCTATATCAAGCCAAACAAGAGAAATTCACCCATCTTCTCATAAGATACACACAAACATATACCCAAGTCGCACAGTCAAAATCTATTAAACAAACCCTACACCCGATGAAGATAAAAAAAGTTCTTTTTTCTTGATAAAGTGGCAGGATAATTGCTTGACCAAACAAGGTGGCCACAAATGTTGTAATCAAGTTAACCAGAAATTTTCAAGGTAACAAATATATAATGTATTAGTAGAGCAAGCAAGCAGGTAAGACTTCATACATCAGTAAAATTATGTAATTTCAGATAGCACTCAACTCACAGCACAAAAATACAAACAAGTTATTGCAAAACAAATAATAAAAATGAGAAGATGCGTTACCTGTTTAGCCATACCACATGCTTTATCAGACTGGTTGAGAATTTCGTAGTAGAACACAGAAAAGTTAAGGGCCAAACCCAATCGTATAGGATGAGTAGGGGGTAGATCCGCATAAGCAATGTCCTTCAAGAAACAAACAACAATTATTATAATAATAAGAAAAAAATATTGAAATAAAAAAGGAAAAAAAGAAGAAGAAGAAAAAAAAAAACCTGGGCAGCCTTGTAAGACAACATAGTATCCTCAGCAGCAGTTTTTCTTTGATCCCCAACCTTAAACTCTGCCATATACCTATGATAATCTCCTTTCATTTTCAAATAGAAAACCTTCGATTCGCCGGCAGAAGCAGAGGGTATGAGATTCGAGTCCAAAAGGTTCAGAATACTGGCACACACATCGGATAACTCCGATTCCACCTTGGATCTGTAGCCTTTCACGAGACCCACGTGTTCGTCGTTCTTACGACCCTCCTCCTTCTGCTCTATCGACGACACAATCCGCCACGCCGCTCTGAGTGACCCAATCACGTTCTTATACGCCACGGACAACAGGTTCCTCTCTTCCACACTCAGCTCCGACGAAGGGGTGGACCCCACCACCAGCTTCTGCATGAACTCCACCATCTCCTCGTACCTTTCCGCCTGCTCCGCCAGCTTGGCCAGGTACACGCACTGATCCCTGCTTAGGTTTTCCAAAGCCATTGCTGAATCGCTATGCCACACAACACAACACAACACAGACAGAGTGTGTAACTGTAGCTGTATAATTGGGGTTTGTGTGATTATATCATATGTTGTTGGTAGGATTGAGCTGTCTTTGGATATGATTAAGTCTTTCGGGTCAAGTTGTGTTTCCTTTAGTCAAATGTTGGGTCAACCTCATAAATCGGGCCTGGCCCATAATTAAAAGGACAATACATTTGGGCCCATTATTAAAACGCTGCGTTCTGAATTGATACCACCATGGATAAATGGAATTGCAACCCTAACTCTAGTGTAGTAGAGAGTGAAGTGAGCATTGGTAACGTTGATTTGAATAGAATCATCGAATTTCATGAAAACTTCAGCGTTTTGCTGTAGCAGGTGTGTTACTTCCTCTCTGCCATGGATATCTCCACTTAAGCTTAGGAAAGCTGCCGAACGTAAACCAGATCCTCCTCCTGAAATCGGTGTTGCTTCAAACGAAGAAGCTCGGAGGAAGCACAAATATCTCTCTCATGAATCTGCCATCAACTTGATCAAACGAGAGAAAGATCCACAGCATGCATTGAAGATATTCAACATGGTAGCGGAACAAAAGGGTTTTAATCACAATAGTGCTACTTATGGAACGATTCTCCAGAAGCTTGCTCAGTCGAAGAAGTTTCAAGCCGTTGATCGAGTTCTGCATCAAATGACCTATGAGACTTGCGAATTTCATGAGGGTATATTTATTAACCTAATGAAGCATTTTTCGAAATCATGTCTTCATGAAAAAGTGCTTGAGACGTTTTTCTCCATTCAGTCAATTGTTCGTGAAAAGCCCTCTCCCAAAGCAATCAGCACTTGTCTCAATCTCTTGGTTGATTCGAACCAGGTTGATTTGGCACGAGAGTTGCTCTTGCATGCTAAGAGGAGTCTAACACGCAAGCCAAATGTGTGCATTTTCAATATCTTGGTGAAATACCACTGCAAAAATGGGGATATTGATTCTGCTTTTGAAGTTGTTGAAGAAATGAAGAACTCCAAGTTGTCCTACCCTAATTTAGTTACATACTCAACCCTGATGGATGGACTATGTCAAAAGGGAAGACTCAGAGAAGCTTTTGAGCTTTTTGAGGAAATGGTCTCAAAGGATAAGATCGTGCCTGATCCCCTTACTTACAATGTTTTGATCAATGGATTTTGCCGTGGAGGTAAACCTGATCGTGCTAGGAATGTGATTGAATTTATGAAAAATAATGGATGCCCTCCAAATGTATTTAATTACTCAGCCTTGGTGAATGGCTTATGTAAAGTGGGGAAATTGCAAGATGCAAAAGGGGTTTTTATTGAGATGAAGAGCTCTGGTTTGAAACCTGATACAGTTTGCTACACTGCTTTGATCAATTTCTTGTGTAGGAATGGGAAAATTGGTGAAGCTATAGAGTTGCTTAAAGAAATGAAGGAAAATGAATGCCGGGCCGATACTGTTACATTTAATGTGATTCTTGGAGGCCTTTGCAGAGAAGGTAGATTTGAGGAGGCTCTGGATATGCTCGAGAAACTCCCTTATCAGGGTGTCTATTTGAACAAAGGTAGTTACAGGATTGTTCTAAATTCGTTAATCCAAAAGGGTGAGTTGAAAAAGGCAAAGAAATTATTGGGGCTAATGCTAGGTAGGGGGTTTCTACCCCATTATGCTACCTCAAATGAACTATTGGTTAATTTTTGTAAGGAAGGCATGGCTGATGATGCTGCTATGGCACTGTTTGACTTGGTGGAGATGGGGTTCCAGCCGGGACTTGATTCTTGGGAACTTTTGATTGAATTAATTTGCAGAGACAGAAAATTATTGTATGTTTTTGAGCTGCTTGATGAATTAGTGATAAAAAATTCTTGATATTTACATTGTGAAATGAGTAAATGGGTTTCAGAAGCAATTGCTGCTTAGAATCCCTTCCTCACTTGTATAGAAGTGTATTCAGAAAAAACAGCAATGCGATTGATGAATTACAAATGTGGCATTCTCCATCAACAATTCCAAGAGGAAATTTCATGTATCAATTTCAACCTTGGTTTTGTCTCTCTTCATTTTCAAGCTAGCACTTCCCAATACCCACCATGTCAATCTAGGGCTGAAATCTGAAGTCTGAACCCTTCTAAAAGAATGAGACCATTGACAACTGCCCAAACAAAGCAGAAAGCTAGAAGCATTGACATTTGACATCATAAACGAAAGCTAGAATCTTACATAACTTTTGCTGAAATGTGATGACTGATGATTGATTTCTATTCATGCACTCCATAAAGAAGCACTTTGCTTAATGATGCTAGCGTAGAGGACATCTCTCCTGTCAAAACAGAATTAAGTCGAAAAACTTTCACAATGTCCAAATCAGGCCCTCCGAACGGTTAAGATTTTCTTGCAGCAAAAGAAATGGAAGAATTCAAATAAAGAAGAAGATTCATCATTGCAATTTAAAGCATTCTTTAGAAACATTGCTAAATTGGTACCGTACAATTGGCTGAATTTTATCGAATAAACTAATGGACTTAAATAGGCAAAATGAGTTACAAATTATAAGAATAAACATATAGACATATACAAAATTTGAATACAATTCAAACTATATACAATCTGAAAACAATCATGCTGATAAACACAGAATTCAAATGTATTCATGCAACAACTTATCCTATCAGGTAGTCTCCAATAAACATGAGTCATGATAGAGGAAGCTCGTCTCCAGTATCTGAAAGTAACACACACATATATAACGGAAAAGACGAACCTGCCACTACTTTTATATATATATATATATATATGTCACGGGCTTCAATAAACATAATTTTTTAATTTTTTTTTTACAATATTATTAATTAATATACTTTAATAAATATAATTTCTCGCACACAACATTGGTTAAGGTGAAATTTTTTTTTTGGCGGGGGAGTCGGAGATTGAGTTTAGTTTTACTTCAAAATAATTTAAAAACAATGCACAAAAAAATAATAATTTAAAAACAAATATCTAGATTATTTAATATAGCGACATCATATTCATTAATATTAGAAAATTTACTATTTCAGGAACAAATTTTGTGCACCTCAGCTGCCGGCTTTCAAGGAAAAAAGACATGGTTGGGGGCATTTCGGTAATATTGCAAGAAATGGAGAGTCATTTTGGCAAGGCAACAAATACACCAACCAATCAGCGTGCGAGTCTGGTGATGTGGCAAAGCACACAGAACCAGAAAACTAGTTTTAAACTAAAAGACAAAAACCACTCTCTCCAACGCTGTCACCTAAAAAACCAAAGCAAAAATCAAGTGACCAACCACATCGTCACATGCTTCAGCCTCACTTGTTCCTTGTTCCCTTCTCCTCCCAACAAACCTTAACTTAAAAAAAAGCGTTTCACAGTTTCATTGTCTCGTGAATAGCGTTGTGATGGCATCAATCTCAGGCATTTGTTCCTCTTCCCCAACAACTCTCAAATTCCAAAACCAATCTCCACCGTTGACCAACCCACACCGCAAAGAACTCATCTCGTTCCCCACTCGTCGGAGCCTCAGCCTCGTCTCCACTCGCTCCGTCGCTCGGGAGGTTCCGGCGGAGGTTTCCGATAAGGCGATAATTCCGAAGGAGCAGAAAGGATTGGAGAAAGATCCACGTGCACTGTGGCGTAGATACGTGGATTGGCTTTACCAGCATAAGGAGCTTGGACTTTACGTTGACGTGAGTCGGGTCGGGTTCACCGATGAATTTTTGCAGCAAATGGAGCCCCGGTTTCAAGCCGCGTTCCGAGCGATGGAGGAGCTTGAGAAGGGTGCGATTGCGAACCCTGATGAGGGTCGCATGGTGGGGCACTATTGGTTAAGGGACCCTAAGCGCGCACCAAACTCATTCCTCAGGACACAGATTGAGAACACTCTTGATGCTGTTTGCAAGTTTGCTGATGATGTCATCAGTGGTAAGGTTAGTAGTTCAATTGTTCTTTTTCTTTTGGTATTTTGTTATGATTTTGTTTTTTTTGTTTCAAATTAAGGTTTTAGTAATTTGTGTATGGCAATGTACTTTGGCAGATTAAGCCTCCTTCTTCTCCGGAAGGTCGCTTTACTCAGATACTTTCTGTTGGAATTGGAGGTTCAGCTCTTGGACCACAGTTTGTTGCAGAAGCTTTGTCTCCTGATAATCCTCCACTCAAGGTATCCATATTCTTGTGATGTTCACTGCTACTTCTGTTAATGCTAAATTGCAAGAGTTAGTAAGGACTACGGATTTATTTTATTGTGCATTCCAATTTACCCCTCAAATGTGGGACTTCAATTCAAGTTACATTACATAATACATATATTCTGATATGAAACCCCACACCAGAACCTTATGTTTCTGATGTGGGAGTCCAAGTCCCATACCTTGGAGTAAGAGCGTAACATTCCACCACACTCCGCATCCCCGGCACCCATGCGGGCTAGCTTTGCGCTAGTCTTTTACTAGCCCTGAGCGATCACTACAATGCCAGTGTCACCACCCGCGCGGCTCGATTGCAACTGGAAGACATAGTGGAAGGTTCTGATACCGATTGTTACGAACCTTGGGAGAACCTCACCTCAAAAACTAGCTCATGAGGTGGAAGAGCCCAAAGTCCACATAAACTCCATACCAGAATCTTATGTTTCCCATGTGGGAGTCCAAGTCTCATACCTTGGAGTAGGATCGTAACATATTCCTCCTGACACCTGAGTCCTGTCTAACATTTGTAAATCTTGTGATTTCAATTGTCACTAGCATTGAATAATGTTGTTACCTTCCTTGACTTCTCTACCTCGGCAGAGGATATTCTTTCTTTCTTTTTATTTGGAGGGGGGATGATGGACTTAGAGGTGTGGGGAAAAACCAAATGAACCCAACTGAACTATAAACTATTCCAAACCGTATTAAAAGAATCACATTTTTTTTAATCCATTCAAGAATCAAATCATTTTTTTCAAATCAGTTCAAGAACCGAACCATTTTTTTAAAACCGGTTCAAGAACCGAATCGCGTTACCAGTTCAGTTCGGTATAAGAATTGAACCAAACCATATCCACTCTTAGGAGTGCTAAAAAGCCAAATGAACTGAATTAAACTGAATCATGAACCAAACTGAACCGCACCACAATTTTCTAAACCGGTTTAAGAACCAATCCATTTTATTTGAACCAGTTCAAGAATTGAACCACTTTTTAAAACCGGTTCATTTTGTCCAAACCGAATCACTTTTCCAATTCGGTTCGGTATAAAAAACTGAACCGAACCATGCGCAACCCATTGATGGTAGTGATTAAGTAAGTGTGCCTTCTATTCTAAAGTTTCTGTTATTTGAAAATTACCTGAGCAACCAGTGTTGTTAAGTATAGATATAATTTTTTTGTTAGGCCTCGGGACTCACGTGATGTTTTTGGTCTTTTGACAGATAAGATTTGTTGACAACACAGATCCTGCTGGAATTGATCATCAGATTGCACAACTTGGCCCCGAGCTAGCTTCAACACTTGTAATAGTGATCTCAAAGGTCTGCATGGATATTATACTTATTTTGTTTGGTTACGATGTTATTAGTGTGTAAAAGATTTTTTTGACTTGAAAATGTCAATTATCTTCAGAGTGGAGGTACCCCCGAGACTAGAAATGGTTTATTAGAAGTACAGAAGGCATTTCGTGAAGCTGGCTTGGATTTTCCAAAACAGGTTTAATCTCAGGTTTTCATTTTTATGTTTTTTATTTCCCCATATTATTGCATAAACATTTGTACCTGAAGTTTAGGTAGCATTGTGGTGCTAGAATTCTGAACGACTGTTTTTTATGAGGGTGAACATGCCACATGTACTTAGATTGCTTTGCATTTACATTACTAGTGTGAAGATGCTCAGAATTCCAATTTTTCTCGCTGCTATACTCTTTATAATTATCATAGATTTGCTTACGTTGTTCAGCAATAGTTGAACTTCTGGTGTTATTTATGTTCCATTTCCTTTTTACTGCTAAACTGAAAAGCATGGTTAATTTTACTCTTTAAAATTGTGGAAAATTACCTTGTTTATTGATAGCAAGACTATTGTGGTTTTATGTATCTATTCTATAATTAAAAGCAATACCTACTGGAAAGTTGCCACTTTTGTCAATTTCTTTTTTGTTTTCACTGTTATGAATTTCCGAATTCTATTGACCCTACATCACTTGCACCTCTTCTGTCAGTGTCATTTTGTGGAAATTTGTTATAATTTGCTAGCGCATGCTATAATGCAGGGTGTAGCTATAACACAAGAAAATTCTTTGTTGGATAACACTGCCAGAATTGAGGGCTGGTTAGCTAGATTTCCTATGTTTGATTGGGTGGGAGGTAGAACATCGGAGATGTCTGCAGTTGGCCTGCTTCCAGCAGCCCTTCAGGTAAGTGGAGGTAAATGTAAATGTGTTTATTCCTTGATATTTTCTGTTCACTTATAATATTTCTTAATTTAGGCCATTGACGTTAGAGAAATGCTTGCTGGTGCATCATTGATGGATGAGGCAAATAGAAGTACTGTGGTATGCATCAGTTTCTAAACCATCTTCTTCTTTTCTTTTCTTTTTTTAAATCTAAATATTACTTTCAGAGTTGTACCCATGCAGATGAAGGAATTCAATTTGTAATAATGCAGGACTTATATCATATATAGAGTTATTCGTACTTAATAATTTGCCATACCTATGCTTAAGAACTACTGGTGCTTCATGTGGCAAATACATGAATGGTGGTTGGGTGTAAAGTGTATGGAAATTGGCATGAAACTAATTACAGCCTCATTAGTAAAACATTTTATGCATAACATTTTGCTGATGAAAATGTTTGTGACTACCTGACCCTTTATGTATCTGTTGGGGTTTGGTGATGTTCAGATCTGCTTCAGAAAATACTCATCTTTTACTGACTTTATCTGGTGCTTAGCAGTTTAGAGGCTGAAAAACTGTTTTGGGAGCTTTCACAGTACCTCCTTGAAAATGAATTATGATAACTATGATTCTGGGGCATGTTTGAGGTACTTCATATGCAGGGATCTGATTATGGGTGTGGCAAGTAATGATGTCATAGGGTAAATGTGTCATATATAGAGCAAATCCATCAAGTTGTATAAGCCAAGAAACTTTCTTTCTGAACCATACGTCATGTTTTCTTAGCCCCATTAGTTTTCTTCATCATGGATGTAGGAGTTTGATCCAGCATCTACTAAAATAACTTTTCACTGGTTTATTTTTTTAAAGAAGCTATATGATGTAGGACAGCCTGGTTTATTTTTATAAAGAAGCTATGTGATGTAGGACACGGCGGGGGGGGGGGGGGGGGATGAATTAGGTTTTGGGATTTCTTGGGCAGAATAGGGATGGAAATTAACAGATTTTATATGGGATAGGATCCTTTGACACCGGTGTCAAATTTTGAAATTTGACACCAAATCATAACCGTTGATTTCCGCGAATCAACGGTTATCATTTATTGGCAATTAATGATTAATTAATAAGTGTAATTTCCAGTAAATGATAACCGTTGATTGATGAAAATCAACGGTTAGGATTTGGTGTTAAATTTCAAAGTTTTACACCGGTATCAAAGGATCCTGCCCCTATATAAATGGGTTAAAGTTGGTAGGTAAAGGCAAAGGGATTTGCTAGTAATAGAACATGGTTTAGGTGGTAAATTAGCAGCTGTAGGGTGCTGTGAACTGTGCGTGTGGGATTAGTGTCTAGGGTTTAATGAGTTTCGAGACAAATTGAAGGAAGAATCGACTGGAGTTTTGATGAAAACGATCTTGTAAGGTTAGTTAATGCATGCAGCCCCAGAATCAAAGCTAAACTAAAATTTTGAGATATTTGATCTCTAATCTTATGTTCCTTGATGCTAGTGCGCCTTGCATCTATATTTTAGAGTTTTGTTCTTGAAAACATGTCTTTTTGTCATCATGGTGAGAAAATCAATAACGTGAGCTTGTGCTTAGAATAGGGATGTCTCAATTTCAACCTATAGCATGCTTTGTGGTGTTGTAAATTACTATTTTCTGCTTGAGATGATAGGATGCCCAAAATCATGTGAGTGTACGAGCACAGCCAAGTTGAGAATATTATGGTTGATGCGCCAGAATAGGGAAATATATATGATGATAAACGGAAATATTTGTCCAGAGGCCAACTTTTTAGAAAGCCCTTGCCTTCTTAAGAACAAACATTCCTTGATTGATTGTAAAATGCATTTTGTTTTTTTAAAGCTACTTTACCATCTTGGCTGCTTAACCTTTCTTCTCTCTCCGAGCAAAGGATCACTGGTTAATATATACTTTTGTGCAGTTAAGGAATAATCCTGCAGCTCTGCTGGCTTTATGTTGGTATTGGGCTACAGATGGCGTAGGATCCAAGGTGAGAATTGTATAATATTAAAGATTAGCATCTGTCTTCTGTTTTATTTCACTGTTGCTCATTGTTTTCTTTTCCTCCTTATTCCATAGGATATGGTTGTTCTTCCATACAAGGACAGCCTGTTATTATTTAGTAGATACTTGCAACAGCTGGTCATGGAATCTCTAGGCAAGGAGTTTGACTTGGACGGTAATCGGGTATGTCTTATTCTTATGGTAGAAAATCTGAAGATTATTTCCATATATTAAGAGATTTTGTCAAGTCCCTAATTGATGGGATTCAATCAATTAGGATTATAGGATTGATTAGTTTCCTTTTTTCACTTTATTTCCTTTTTACAATCACACGTGATATGTATACATACGTGTACCCTCTCCTTATTGCAATTACAATTACATAGAAATAAAATCCTTCTTTTTATTCCTTATTTCTGTTTTTCTTCATTAGTTCAATTCAAACATGGTATCAAGAGCTTTGACAATCCAACCTTAACCCGCTTTTTTTGTCACTGCCTAAAACCAGAACCCACCCTTACGAAGCTCCAATCGTCGAAGTGAGACCACCAGTCAATAGAGGAGGAAAAATCCAGCCGACCCATCCAAGTCCCATCTCCGGAACAGTGCCCACGCGCTGTCCGATCAACCTCCAGTCGGTCCTATTCGTCTCGTTTCCTTATTCCCATTTTGTTCCGGGGATCAAATCCTCGATTGGAGAAAAAAAAATTCCGGGTTCCTAAAGCCAAACCCTAGTTCTCTGTAAAGAATCAATTCAACCCAAAAGCCTAAGTTGTTAGGTGAAGGCCTCTTTAATGGTTTATATTATACTCTAATACGCTCCCTCACAAGAGAGTCCATTGGACTTGAAAGGTGGATGATGCATCAGGCCCAACCAACCTGTGCTAAGAAATTCTACAAAGAAAATGGGGGGCGGCGAGGATCAATCCCGAGACATGAGACTTTGATATCATGTAAAGAACCAATTCAACCCAAAAGCTTAAGCTGATGGGTGAGGCTACATTAATGGTTTTATATATCTCTAACATTCTCTCAGTCAAATCCTTATTCCATTTTATGGCTTCATCTACTGCCTCTTCAGGATCATCGTATGCAGACTCTGGGAGACAGTTTGACTCTGCAGATTACAAATCATAGGTTGAACGGTAAGAGCTTTCTACAATGGTCTCAATCGGTCAAGATGGTCATCTGGGCTAAGGGCAAGATGCGTTATCTCAATGGGAACATCAAGAAACCCGCAAAGAATGATCCTGAATATGAAGATTTGGAGATCAATAATTCCTTAGTGATGGCTTGGCTAATTAATTCGATGGACTGATCATACGTTTTTTCACAAGCACTCCGCAGATGGTAAAATTACTATTCTTATTGTTTATGTGGATGATATGATCATTACAGGTGATAATCATGAGGAATTGGATTCCTTGAAGAAGTATCTGGCAAACCAATTTGAAGTATTTTCTTAGCATGGAAGTGGCTCAGAGCAAATCAGGAATCACTATTACTTAGAAGAAGTATATCATTGATCTTTTACAAGAGATAGGCATGCTAGGATGCAAGCCAGCTAAGACCCCTGTGGAACCTAACTCTAAGTTGGTCATTGAAGATGGGAAAGAGGTGGCTAGAAAACACTATTAGAGATTGGTTGGAAAACTGATTTACATATCTCACACTCGACCTGACATTGCCTTCGTAGTAAGCATGGTTAGTCAATTCATGCACTAACTTAGGGAGAAACACTTGGGTGTTGTCCACAGGATCCTTAAGTACCTCAAGAACACTCCTAGCAGGGGACTATTCTTCAAAAAGGGGTTTAAGAGGATGATTGAAATCTACACTGATGCAAATTGGGCAGGTTCATTAGTGGACTGAAGATTTGCTTCAGGCTATTGCACCTACGTGCAGGGAAATCTTGTGACTAGAGGACTAAGAAACAAACTATAGTTGCAAGAAGTAGTGATGAGGCAGAATTTCGAGCTCTAGCTCATGGAGTTTGTGAGGGAGTGTGGTTGAGAAGACTATTTGAAAAATTAAAGATCTCTTATTCCCGACTAGTTAAACTATACTGCTACCACAAAGCTGCTGTAATCATCGCTCAAAATCTTGTCCACCATGATAAGACAAAACATGTGGAAGTTGACCGCCACTTCATCAAAGAAAAGCTAGATGATGAAAGCGTGTATGACGTACATTCCTACCGAAGAGCAAGAAGCAGACATCCTTACCAAAGGCCTGCATAGACCAGCATTTGAAGACCTAATTGGTAAGTTGGGAATGATTAACATGTTTCTCCCAACTTGAGGGGGAGTGTAGAAAATCTGAAGATTATTTCCATATATTAAGAGATTTTGTCAAATCCCTAATTGATGGGATTCAATCAATTAGGCTCAGTTTTTTTTCAGTTTTTATTTAGGATTGATTAGTTTCCTTTTTTCACTTTATTTCCTTTTTACAATCACACATGATGTGTATATATACATGTGCCCTCTCCTTATTGCAATTACAATTCAATAGAAATAAAATCCTTCTTTCTGTTTTTCTTCATTACTTCAATTCAAACACTTCTGTGCAACTAATCTAATTAACAATATATTTTTGTTCTTCATCCTGTATTTTGGGTGAATTTCTTGATGTCTTTTAATCAGTTTACAGCTGTGCCTGTATCAGAAAGTAGCCTGATGGACTCTGTAGACTGTAGGTTTTAATTGATGGTTTCTGTGTGGGTACAGTGTATGTATTGTCACACTTTCATGTGGAGCCTATTTGCATTACATGTCATATCATTAAATCGACCGAACCTTGTCGATAAGGGATCCTAGTTTTCCTAGGATGGTGGATCTTTCTTTCTACATATTATTTCACATTTGCTAACTATGCTAAGTTCTCAATGCTTCAATCCTGCATGAGTTAATGATATATCTGAAACTAACTTTTGGATTCCACAGGTTAATCAAGGAATTAGTGTCTATGGAAATAAAGGAAGCACAGATCAGCATGCGTGAGTTTTCATACTAGTTTGTAAGTTGGTTTGATATAGTTTATAGATTTGATTAATATCTACTAAACTGCGACCCCCCTTACAGCTATATTCAACAATTGAGGGAAGGTGTGCACAATTTCTTCGTTACATTTATTGAGGTGCTACGTGATAGACCCCCTGGTCATGATTGGGAACTAGAACCTGGTGTCACATGCGGTGACTACTTGTTTGGTATGCTACAGGTCTGATCTACTAATCAAGCATATTTTCTTACCGAACTCGGTGGTTTTGTTTAAGACTGGTTGTTGTTAGTTGTTCTTTTTGCTTAGTGCTAAAATTGGAGTTTCTGCAGGGAACAAGGTCAGCCTTGTATGCCAATAACCGAGAGTCCATCACTGTCACTGTACAAGAAGTGACACCGAGATCAGTTGGTGCTCTTGTTGCACTCTACGAACGAGCAGTAGGAATATATGCCTCTCTTGTCAACATAAATGCTTATCATCAACCTGGTAAATATGATTTCTTCAGCCTGTTTTACAATTTTCTTGTTTTCTAATAAAGAATTAAAAATTCATTTTTTACCCTTTCCTGTATTGGGGTCAATGATTTATGTTTCTTTGAAATTTTGAGTCAGTCAAGCTTAGTGAATTACACACGCAAGTTGTATTGTGTTAGTTTCTTCATTGTCATTTAACTCCCTCTGAATTGTGATAATTACTTAGGTGTGGAAGCCGGTAAAAAGGCAGCCGGTGAAGTATTAGCACTTCAGAAGCGAGTGTTGGCAGTGCTAAATGAAGCAAGGTATGATGTGTATTTTGACTGTATCAGGGCTCTCTTTGTCTTAGCTAGGATTATTTTGGGTATAGTCTTTGCTCTTGAGACTAGTGAAAATGAAAGCATGAGTTCGGAAGAGTTTTTCAGTGTATTTGAATTATTTTCTTTCAGTAAGATGTGTTGGCCCTTCTTGTTATCATGAGTACAAAATGACTATCCTACCTGGGACTTATTCCAATAATACTGTGATGCAAGGTGCATCCTACTGAAAATATTTGCAATTATTTGTTAAGGATAATAATCAGAGGATATCAATATCTGTCTGGAATGTGAACTTGTGCTTAGCATCTTTGTATATATTGTCAGTTAGGTCTGTCTCTAAATTATATTTATCTGTTTCTGTTTTCAGCTGCAAAGAGCCTGTTGAGCCATTGACGCTTGAAGAAGTAGCTGAGCGTTGTCATGCTCCAGACGATGTACATATATATATATTGGCCCTCTTTATTACTTTCTCAATTATGTTTAATAAGCAGTTTATTAAGGATTGTTGGAGAGGTTTAATAACATTTTTCACTTACATGTATGCAGATTGAAATGATTTACAAGATTATTGCTCACATGGCTGCCAATGACAGAGCACTTATTGCTGAAGGCAGCTGTGGATCACCACGGAGCTTCAAGGTTTTTCTTGGGGAGTGTAACGTTGATGAATTGTACGCTTGAGTTTGGGCTAATGAAATTTCGTGTTTGATAATGTTACTGTTACGGATCAAAAGAAAGGAAGCAGCTTGCAATAATTTGGTTTCGATGTTGAATCTCCATTCATTAATAATGAAAGTGGAGATTTTTGTTTAGACAAATTCCTGAGAGTGTTGAGTTTTGGTCGTCTGAATTGGAACCACATTTGATAAAAACATCATGTAACCAAATGGAGAACCAAGTACATAAATATAACTAAATAACTTGTTATTCTGTTGGCTTAGTTGTGTTGATGATTTGGGAGGTTTATGGGATTTGGACACTGTCTGTGCATTGCAAACAAAAAAGGAAACTGTAACATTTTGCGTGAACAGTACCATTGCCTGTTTATAAAGGCTAGAAGCAGGATTTGAAATGGCATTGGTACCGATATCACGACCTTTTTATTAGTATATCAATATTATTAGTGACGTCTTATATTGCTGAAGTATATATAGGAAATAATTTATTGTATTTTATATTTTAATCATCAGGTGTCTCATTTAATGAAAATATTTTATATTTAAAAAATAAAATACGCAGTTAAATATTATTCACTGACTGTCAAAAACATAATAGTGCCTTCACAAAAAAGCCAAGGTACCGAAAAAAAATCCTTTAAAAATTCCTTCGATACCTCGGTCCAAAACTACTACAACTACACTCACATTTTGCCCACTCTATTTGCGTGAACTGATGTGACTCTACCATTAGCAATAAACGCAAATGAAGTCAAAAGGGTTATGGGGTGATGGTTAAAAAAAATAAATGGGAAAAAAGATTAGGGAGCAAAAGCAGCAAAATGAAAGAGAACAAAAGGCAACCACAAGTTGGGTTCTCGGATGTGGTGGAGTGGGGAGACTGTTGCAGACCTGAGTTTTGAATACGATTTTGAATTGCACTTGGAAACATTTGAGTATTGATATTTACAATATCAAACTATATTAAGATCAATTGATCTGTGGTGCAAAGGAATTGCATCTATAATCCAACACGAACAGGGCGTGGAAAGCCAAGCTGAATTGCAGCACAAGCAAGAGTACGAGAGTTAAATTACTACACCACAACTTTGCTCCAAGCTGCATCGGTAAATCAGAGAAGCTTTGATATGACATGACAAGAAGTCCAGAAAGCTTTAGTTGCAGCCTTAAGAATAACAGGGTTTTGATATATCCTGTCAAGAATGCCAAATGTAAGTGGTAAATAAAAATGAACCTATTAGCCGAAAAAAGGTTGAAAATAAATCAGAATGACTTTCTCTTGTTATACTAAATGTAAAAGCAAATAACAAGAAAATGACACGCAAGGTATTCGGTATCTATTACATGAGATTATTAAATGTATGGTATCAAGCTGCAGGCAAATTATATAGGCAACAAATGCCACAACATTAAAGCAAGTTATGCGACGGGTGAATACAACAATAGGTTCCTTAACTATAAAGAGAAGTGGGGATTGGAATAACCACTTACCCAATGGCCGTGGCCCCCCATGATGCAACATTATAAATAACTTTGCTCCCATCCCAAGCCTTTCGAAGCTTTCCCTTTTTCTTTTTCACTGAAAATGTCTTGCTGAGCGCTAACAAAAAAACCAGAAAAAGTCAGAAATTCTTTCCCAGTCTTTTAGCTAACTGGCAATAAATTTGTCTCCACAAGAGCATAAAAAAGTTATTTGAATGAAAAGGTAGATGATAAAAAGTTATTTCTTCCGTGTTTTTCACTCAATTATATGGAGGAATAAGGTATCATATTAGGAAGGAAGCAAACAAACTCACCTTCCTGGAGTTGAAGAGGGGTCAAATCCTACAAATGGCAAAGAATCAATTAGAGAGAGAGAGAGAGCAGAAACTTCAGATACATTTGGCAGAATATGTTTGCTGTTATTGATCATAGATGGAATTAATAAAACAACATTCTTCACAGGCACAGAAGAAGAGAAAGACATGCCTTATTACTCAATGCAAGTGATTGATAGCCTACAGAAGAATGAAAAGGGCTAAAAAGATGCAACTATGGAAAAGGCATGTACATTACATGATTAAGTCTGTACTTCAATGGAATGACTTCTTGAGCATTGACTTGCAAGAAGAATCTATATCCATATCATCAAAGAAGCACAGACTGTAACATGATAGCCAGAAAGGCAGAAAGGAATGAAAAACATAGTATGATACCAATAATAAAGTCTAACAAATGCATTCCCAGCATAACAAGTATCTTGCATCTCTCTATTTTTTCGACATTATAGTTAATAACCTAATGATTGTGAGTTGCAACAACTTATTTCCTGAGATTAAACAGTTACCAGCCTCAAAGTGGGACATCTTTGTAGAGAAAATAAGCATTATAAACATAAAGTTCGATATTAAATATTAAATTCAGAAGTTCCCAGCTCAACTTCGCAAACAAGAAATAGTAGTGGTATATAACTATTCTCAAGTGACCACACACAAGTGGTAGAACACAATTTCATACAAGCCACAATAAAAACATAGAACATTTGTAAATTTAACACCTATATAGAGTAAAATTGTGGTGTCACAGCAACCAGCAGTACTGCTTCAAAATGAAACACTAGGCAAGGCAGCTTAGAATCCATCGACTGGGATAATAAAATATACTAGTAAATAATAACACTCCTTATATATATTTAAAAGTTTAGTATTTTTTTAATATAATATTTAAAGTAAGACCAAAGGAACACATTTTTGCATACAATAAAACACTAGGCAAGTCCTGCTTATATAGCATGGCAGCATATGATGCTCAGGTACAACGCTGATTTGGCATCTTATGAATATGCGTATAATACAGGTACGTCCATAATTTTGACGTTCTTTTTTCTTATTTTTTTGGTCGGATACGGTCAAGCCGATATGTAGCACACCTGTGCCAACACCAAGCTGATACACGACAATATAGAAAACTCCAAAATTGGCAATGAGTACCACTCATATTGGTGCAATTTGACCATTTATGAGTGAATTGTTTGACTCAATACTTCAGAGGACTGAAAATGGTTGTTTCTCAGCCAGGTTGCAACGGATTTAAATCAGATTTCACAACTAGCATGACAAACCTGCTTATTTGTGCTTCGTTGCAATTTTCTTAAACCAAAAATAGGTCTTTCTTGTATACTTATGTTCATTTCATATATAGGATTTTATAAATAATTTTTTATAAATTTTACTTTTGGCATAATTATATTTTGTGATATGATAATTAAGGTTTATTAATTGTGACTCAAGGAATATTATGTACTATGCAATATCTGTTACAATTTTAAAATATTTTATTTAATACCTTACCATATCCATACCTAGATTTTTTAAAAAAAATTGTATATGCATCACATAATCAACTGATCGTGATTTGTACACGTTTCAATGCAAAATAGATCGCAGCATATACATAGAAAAACAACTTTAAAGATGATTAGAGAAGAACAAATCCGCAAAACCTTTCAGCAAACATACAAGACATTTTTCAGTGTGCGGAATTTGCATCTCAATGGAGAAACATATATGGAGGTACGAACGGGCACAAGAAGGGAAAAGGTCCAGTATACATGGGGCCCTTAAGTAAGGCGAACAGCAGAAAGCATAAGACAGCTGGTTCCTATAGCATGTCAAGAAGCAATTGAAGTTTGAAGCCAAAAGATTTGGATTCTCATAAATTTCTAATTATTGCACAATAATATCATTCAGATGATGATATCGCGATGAATTAAATTATGCATAAGAGAAGCAAAAACAATAGGCACAGCACAGAGCGAACTGAAAAACAAGAGCATATACAGATAACATACCTTGGTCTGCTTGAGGGATAGCAAATATGCAGCCATGAAGCAAGCAATGCCCTCCACTATATCTTCTTGCCTAACAAGGACATAATCTTCTTGGTCTGAGTCAACATCTTCACCTTCCCAAAGATCATTTTCACTAATCATATCCCAAGAATTACCTTCTTCTGCCATAAATAACCCAATTTCCCCCACCTTTTATTAGCATTCCAAATTTAAAAGAATAAGAGAGAACAACTTTTATTAACTGAAATCATGAAAATGTAGAGAGATCATACCAGCTGAATTCTGTGAAACTGACACCTGGGCACACTCTAACTTTTCAAGGAAGGCAGGGCATTCAACTCTAGATTTGAGCATATCACATAACTGCATTGGGGCACATGGGGAACATCACATGTTCATTGAATAACATACATTTCTCATTAATTAAGACTCAATAATAGTGATAAATATCAGTGTCTAGATTCTAAACATATAGATAAGTGATATATTATTAGTGTCTAAATTATTAACAAGTTATTCTAAGCATATATCATAAGAGTCATGGCCTATCCAAACCCTAAAATTGAAAAAATTAAAATTAAAATTACCTCATCGGTTTCTGGATCAGGAGTTGACGAAGAGGTTGAGGTTTCAACGTCGCAATCGTCTTCATCAACATCAGCAGAATCAGTAGTGTTAATCAATTCAAGAGCTCTCTGACACTGCAAGAGCACGGCCTCAAGGGTCTTCCTCTTAACCCGAAGCGGGTCAAGGTCCGGGTCCGAATCCACCAAGGGTTTCGGATCCATTAACCTGATCCTTTAATGCAGCAACAACAGATTCATTCGTCGTTCGTTGTTGTGCATTTATTTGTTGGGTTGGGTTGGGTTTGGTGAGTGGGAGAAATGGAATTATTGGAATGGGACACGTGATTTTCGATTTTATGGATGTTAATTTGTTGCGATGCTGTGTTTTTGTCTCTTGCAGGTTATCAACGAAAAATATGAATTGAAATAAATAAAGAAAAAAGAAAAAAAGGAGGCGTTAGCGTTACTGCGTTAGGCTGTAGGGGCGTTCCAGATTGATGCCAAAACAATGTTTGCTTGGCATCGCTTTCGTGTACTGGAACTGTTCCCTCCTCCTATACGAAATGCCTCTATTTGCTTTACACAATCATCTTTGATATCTTTCTTTTTTATTTATTTATTTATATATATTCTTTAGATCTTTCACTTTGTCACGTTTGAAACTTTGAATTCAGTAAGACAGTAATATTCAAAACAATGTACGGATAAACTTTCAGAAATGAGAATCTTATTTTTGAATCTAACAGTGATTCTAATATTTTTAGAGAAGAACTTTGATGAGCTTTTTCAAGTATTATTAAAGGCTAACCTAAAATATCATTGTTCACTAAGTTTTTTATCTAAATGTCATGTGAACTATGTTATTTTTCTATTTGCCACGGGACCAAGTTCGCTACCCGGTGTAGCGAACTCGATTTGCTGACATGTCACATTTCTAGTGGACACCAAGTTCGCAACGTAGCGAACTCCATACTTTTTTTTTTAACTTGGTACTTATCATTCACTAGAAATGTGACACGTCAGCAAACCGAGTTCGCTACACCGGGTAGCGAACTTGCTCTCGTCGCAGATTGAAAAATAATACTGTTCACGTAACATTTAGGTAAAAAACTTGGTGAACAGTGACATTTTTGGTTGGTATTTCACTTGCATTATTAAGGATAATCCGTTTGTTTGTTTTGTTTAAGCTAAGAGTTATTTTTAAATTAAATTAACAAAATAAAACTTATAGGATATTGTAACAACTAATTAGTGTTACTATCAATGTTATTATCAATCAATTTCACCGTTAAATCGATTATGTTGATTCAACGGTTATATTTATTTTCATCTTTATATGGTTATGATTCTTCATATTTTATATTTTATATTTATTTTTACCTTTGTATAGTTATGATTTTCTATATTAAGATTAAAAAATATAAAGTGTTATTAATCCACTAACACTTGAATTTGTATAGCTATTAATGACTATAATGCAACAAACTCCTTTCTTCAAATCATGATCTAATAAATAAGTTTAAGAGGTGTATTCAATAAAGCGATGCTGTTAATTTCATCTGTATAACCTTGAAAAATATATATATATAATTTAAGCTAGTTGATATCAACAAGGTAATAACTAATAAAGATTGGCTTTCAAATAAATCATAATTTAAAATTGTTTTTTCTAACCTTTACTCTCTTACTTTCAAAAGTTACACTAAAACACACACAAAATAAAATAAAAAACTCATTCCAACCGCTTTCTTGAACATTACCTGGGTCTTTCTTTTTCTTTTTTGATACAATACAACTATGCTTTTTGACCATTATAGCTTTTTTTAAATAATTAATTACCAAATTGACCCTATTTATAAACTATTTCAAAAATTTAACCTCTTCAGAAAACATAACATCAATCTGCCCCTGTTTGACCGTTGACCATGAAGCCTACCCGGGTACACCCCTACCTACCCGGGTATATTTTGAAATTTTTTACCTACCCGGGTACACTCCTTCCTATCCGGGTATATTTCTTGAATCTAAAAAAATGTTTGAATTATTTACCTGGGTACAGAGGGGTGTACCCGAGTAAATAACAAAATCTCAGAACTTCGTTGCTCAATCCATATAAGTTCTGAGAACACCTTTAGAATTGTTTTGACATGCAGACGGTTGCTTTTATTAAAGCTGTGCTTAATTTTCCTTTCTGTGCAGGTTCTATCACAAAGGCATTTTGCATTGCATTTGTGATGACTTTCTTTAGTGGGTTTGATGTTCCAGTGTTCTGGCCAATACTTCTCTTCTACTGGGTAGTACTATTCACGCTTACTATGAGGAGACAGATATCACACATGATCAAATACAAATATGAATAATCAATTGCATAGAAGCGTCTTTTTTTTGTGTGGTGATGATTGTGGTTTAAATTTAACGTATGGCAGTGGTATGGCGGAGAGGTTTGAGTGAAGAGAGAAAGCATGGGGAGGAGTAAGGTTAAGCAGGGGAGGAGATTGCAGAAGATAATGAAGTGCTTGTGTTCGGGGGAGCAGTTAAGAGCAGCAGATGAAATGGTTCCTTGTTCGAAATCTGTTGCATCGAAGGATTATTATTTGGCAAATTCTGGCTGTGATGGACAAGTTGTGAGGAGGAGTGGTTGTGCTTGAAGTGGCTTGTAAGATATGCTTTTTGGGATCGAGATTTACCTGGGTACACCCCTTCCTACCCGGGTAAATAATTCAAGCAATTTTTCAGATGTCAAGAAATATACCCGGGTACACCCTTCCCTACCCGGGTAGGCATGAATTTTCAAAAAATACCCGGGTAGGCTTGGTGGTCAACGGTCAGACAGGGGCAGATTGGTGTTATGTTTTGTTGGGAGGTTAAATTTTTGAAATAGTTTATAATGAAGGTCAATTTGGTAATTAATTATTAATAAAGGGTTATAAGGGTAAAAAAGCCATAACTACCTGGGTCTTTTTCCGACAACTTTTGCCTACAGCGCTGGTTACTTTTTGAATTATTTATACCCGTACATTAATTTGGTTTTAGTGTATCGAAGTAATGCATGTTAATAAGTATTAAAAAAATGTGAAGGCAACAGAATTTTTATGAAAAAAAAAACATTTTAAGTGACAAGAGCATATAATCATACATTTTATTTTATTTGTATGTAATTAATAATAGTTAATATGAGCGACGAAAGTAATTGAATAATTGTAAATTATTCGGCCCAAAATGTTTCTGGGCAGCTTGCTGAAGCCTTATTCCAATATGTCTATTGGGCTTAAAAAGACACTTAAAGCCCGTCGAGCTCATTAAAAGGACACAACAAAACCCCTAGTAAAGAAAGAGAGTAACAAGGTTTAGAGGTAGTTTCTTTCAGCTTTAAAAAGAAATAACTTTTATCACTTCCTTATTTTAAAAGTACTTTTTATAAAAGTTAAAACTATTTATATTTTTATAAAAATATTTAGTTTTTGAAAAAAATATTTGGTTTTTGACTTTTGCTTCTTAGAAGTTAAAATTTTAGCTTTTGAAAAAGTAGGTTGTTGGCTTTTTTTGTGACTTCTCATTTTTTTAAAAGCAGACATCCAAACGAACTAAAAACGAGAAGTGCTTTTTTTCTTGAAAAAAATAGCTTTTGAAGAAAAAAAAAGCTCATCCAAACGGACCCTTAGTTGACATAAAACATTTGTTTACCCTCTTTTCTTTTTTTAAAAAAATTATCTATCTCCCATCTGTTTTCCTTGGACCCTTAAGAAGGTCACCTAGGGGGCGTTTAGTTGAGGAGAAATTTTTTTAATACCAGGGAAATATAATTGATAGGAAAATAGTTAGAAAGTGAGTTTGATAGAAAAATGTAAAAAAAGTTGTTTGGTTGGAAAAAAATTTACTGGGCAAATTAGGTAAGATTTATAAAGTTTATGTTTGGTGTGAGATAAAATATAGATGAGGAAATAGAGTTAAATTACCAAAACAACCCTTGAATCTTATATATATAATATTTAAATTATAATTTTAATCACCAAAAGCAACCCAATTCATTTCTCATTCTTCAACAGAATTGAAAACGACAAGGTAAAACAAAATCAGTTTTTTTTTTTGTTTTTTGTTTTTTGTTTTCAATGTTAAAGAGTAATTGGGTACTTAAATGGAAGAACAAAATCAATCAAAATGATGAAGAAGAAAATAAAACAGAGACTCCACTTTCAACAATATATACAAGGTCATTATTGTCTCCAGCATATAGCTCTTTTTCCCCTTCCCCATCTAAATCCCAAATACTACCCTCCATGTGGGTTTTTAAAACAGTATTTTTGATCAATTTTTACAAAAGAATCATAATGGCTGGGGAAACCAATTTGCTAGCAAAATTTGTTGAAACCATGTACCAAACATGGTCAAATAGGAATGCTGATAAAAGTTGCCCAGCTATTAAAATTTTAGCTTTTGAAAAAGTAAGTTTTTGGCTTTTTTTGTGACTTCTCCTTTTTTTAAAAGCAGACATCCAAACGAACTAAAAACGAGAAGTGCTTTTTTTCTTGAGAAAAAACAGCTTTTGAAGAAAAAAAAGCTCATCCAAACAGACCCTTAGTTGACATAAAACATTTGTTTACCCTCTTTTCTTTTTTTAAAAAAATTATCTATCTCCCATCTATTTTCCTTGGATCCCTTAAGAAGGTCACCTAGGGATTTATAAGAAGGCCCTCCTCCAAATTCACATGATAGATCATAGTTCTTTGAAAGAAGAGAAAAATGAAAAAAAAGATTTGAAAACAATGGAGATGGAGTGAGAGACAAAGCTTTGAATCTCTACCCTAATATGTTTAGATCAAGTAATATTAAATTTATCTCCTTCTTTTCCTTTTGTCGAAAGAATTAATGGATACATTTTTACTGTTGTACCGGTTATTCGTGTGTATTTTTATGCAATAATAATTATTATTATTATTATTATTAGGGGAATGATCCGTTTACAAATTTTTTTTATAAATTATACTAAGTATGACCAGTCATACACTCTTGATTGAAGTATGACCGGTCATACTTAATATAGTTTATAAGATTTTGTAAACAAAAAATTTATATATATAATATTATTATTATTATTATTATTCGGATTAAATTATGCATATCATTTTAACATGTATTTGTATTAATGATTATCAAGATATTCAAGAAGAAAATGAACTTTGAAATATAACATTTCATGTTCAGTACAAGTTTGAAAAATATAATAAGAGTAGGGTTATATTAACAAATTATTTTTTTAACAAACTTACAAACTACACTATGTCTGACCGGTAATACTCTACTCAAGAGTGTATTATCGGTCAGACATAGGGTAGTTTATAAGCAAAAAGTTTATAAATATAATCTTTCCCATATAATAATAAACGTTATTTTATTTTATTTTTGATTTTTCAATGTATCTTCCGGTCGACAGTCGAAGGCTAATCCTCTCGAGCCAAGAGATCACATTAAGTGAGTAAACCTCTCTCAATAAAGTCTTTTTTATACATATGACTATCTATCAACTGTGCTAGGCTTTGTTGGTACGATAAACGTTATTAATTCTC